AGTACAACCTTCCACAACATCGCAGGACACAGTTTGAAAAGAAACCCTCATACGCAGGAATGAAAATCTACAACAGGCTACCACCATCCAGATCTAAGAAGCAAGACAGAAGATGACCTCAAACCAGCTTTGCGTCAATGGCTCATTAATCGACCTTTTTACTCTTTAAAAGAATACTACAGTACCAACAGATCTTTGACTAAACAACACCTCAACCACATATTTAGAAAAAAATGTAAATTGACGCTACTACTATTCTTAATGAATGTGTAAATAAAGATTATTTGTCTATTGTCTATTGTCTTCTGAAAGAGTGTAGGAGTTTTGCCAACGGGTATCAGGTAGAAAGGGTCCCCATCCGTGAATTCCTCATACTGCGGAGTTTTGCCAACGGTTGTGGGTTGCGCGAGAGGGGGGGGGGAAGAGAGAAATTACACGTGACCGTGAGGGTGGCTTCCGCTCGGGGTGGACAAACCAGGCAGGATGCTGACTGTGTTCAAAGTAATGCAGTTATGCACCTCTGACTGTGAAAGGAAATGTATTGAATTTTTAACCTAACCTAACCTAACCTAACCTAACCTAACCTAACCCACTGCGACAAGCGCATAACTGCCGAACGTAGACAACCCTGTCAATCGCTCTCTCTCCCTCCCTCACATTCTTTCTCCCACTACCACCGTTGGCAAATCTCCGCACCAAGAGGTGGCCGAAGCATCCCCCCCATCTACCTAACACCCGTTGGCAAAACTCCGGTTCCCCTTCTGAAAAGTTGAGAAACATTTTAATTACCTTCTCATTTCTGTCGATTGAGTCAATTATTGATTCAATAAAATCGATACCAGCAGTTATCGTAGATTTTCCCTGTCGGGAGCCATGTTATGCTCAGGATCCAACAATGGTTTGATTCGAGGAAGGTTAAAAGCTGGTCATATTCATATACCTACTATTTTCTCAAAAAATGTTGAAAACACAGGCAATAACGAGATTGGTTTATAACTTGTGGGATCATATTCATCCCCCTTTTTATAGACTGGTACTATGGTACTAATTTGGCAACTTTTTATTTATAAGGAAAGATAGAGCAAATTAAATAGGATTTTATGATATGAGTTAATGGTTTTGATATAAGAGGGAAAGCATGTTTAACAATGGTAACTGGTATGTACTCCATCCCTGTTGGAAATTTATTATCAAAAGACTTAACTCTATCTTTTCTATTAGCTTTTCATCAATTTCTCTAAATTTGAAGCTGCAGGTTGGTCGGGGTGGTTTTCTAAGGTTAGATTCAAAACTTGTAGTATTTTTATTAATATTTGGAAGAACAATGTCAAAACTTTACCTACATAAGTTGGGTTTGATTCAATTTTGTCGTTGAGCAAAATTTTCAAATTTTCACCAGGATTTTTTGTAGCATTCACTTCAGAGTTAATAATTTTCCAAATTCATTTGGATTTTTTTGTGGATTTTGTTATTGAAGTATTGTTTTTTATTGTACGTCTATCGGCTGAAATTTTAATTCTTTGTTTAATTGTTTGATTTAATTTTTTTGAGGTTCAGACTTTAGTGTTCTTTATTGTTTTTATAAGTTTACTAAATTTTCCTTTTAGCGATTTTCCCTATAGGGAAGTAGCTGTTACCGTAGGTGGCACGGTAAGACCTAGGCCCGGGACCGATTTACTTTTTCATTTTGATGTCCCCAGAGGCCAAAACCACTATATGCTGAAATTTTAATACATAAAAATATGTGTATACCGGTGAACGGGATAACTTGAGTAATTTTTGTCCGATTGATGTAAGGCGGGAAACTTGAAGGAGTTTGCGAACCAGCATGATCTGACCATGGGAACAGGGTTTTACGGGGGGGTGGGGGTTTATGGGGTAAAAATTGGTTTTTCTAATTTTTAACTTAATACATCAAATTCCCCAATTTCTCTCTAAACCTTTTTAAAGAGCTTAGAAAACAAATAATTTAGTATGTCAAAGTGTTTTGTACGGTTATTGGCAACAGAGAAAATTTTAAAATTGTAAATTTAAAATTCCCATTCTTATGGAGAATATTGTAAAATGTTGTAGGTAGTTTGCTTGTTTATGGATATATTATGATCAAACTTGGCAAATTTTGTTAACTAAACTATTAATATTTTACTAAAAAACACACTTTATCAGTTCCTTGTAGCAGCAAAACCTAGGTACTCGTTAAACCCAATGTTATTTAAATAGATTTAATTGAAAATCGATTCAGACAAATGGAAATTCCCTTAGTCAGCAGGTTTGCTGCGGCGGGTGTATTTCATTTCATGTCATTGAAAATCCATGAATTAGAAGTAGTATTTTTTTTCTATTTGGCATATTTTAGGGAAACTAGTTTCAAAGGCATGTAAAAAGATCGAAATAAAACATCATACTTAGTTGTTACAGTGGCTTATACTTCAGACAAATCTTCTTTAGCTAATATAGTGTTAAAAATGAATTTATACTAGTCTCAGAAAAGCTCCTTCTAAACACTTTTTTATACTCTTTATTTTACTTTTCATTCTATCTATATACCTCAAATAATATTGCCCATCATGGTCAGAAACAGTGGGGTAACTACAGGTGGGGGATGAGGGTGATAGAACCCCCCCCCCCTAAGGAAAATAGTCTGCTTTAGTTAGGCCACAGACAAGGGAGTCAATGGTTAGGCTAAATAACCTCCTCCATATGGTTTAATAATGAACATTGTTCACAGAGGATCAATCAGGAATTGTTGCGGGTAATTTCAATCTTTGCGAATAAAATCGGTGATTTCCAGTGGCGATTGCATGGAAAATCATCTTATTAGGTTGGCAACACTGCCGCTCATGCGCTGTAAGTTCCTGCTCAGTCTGGTGAGTTCACCTGTACCTGTGTTCTGCATTCTGCAGTAATTTGTTGTTACTCACCATTTAGTGATTATGTGTCCTCTACAATGTCAAAGAGGAAAGCTTCACAAAGTTTAATAACAGATTCGTTTAGAAAGGGCCACTCTTTCACCGCGATAATTTTACCTACAGTCAGCGGCGTCGAATGAAAAAAATATTGGGGGGGGGACACTTTGAATTTCCTTAACTATTTTACGTGGATTTCCCAACTATATTACACAGATATCCAAACTATATATTACTCAAATTATCCCAACTATTACACGAATCTCCCAACTACAGTATAGGCTATTAATATCAAGTTTTAACAGTAGCCTAAGGTTATTTTACCTTTAAATCCTCTTTACAGCTGAAATACACAAATAACAAGAAATTATAAAGGTTTCCTCAAATTAGTGGTTTTGGCTCATTGACTGTCAGTCTTCATTGTTGATTGTGTCTTAAGTGTCTCAACAAATGTCCAACTGTAGGTCTACTGATCAATAATACATTAAGTTTTCAGCCTGTTAAAATCAATTTATAATAAAAACTCAGTAGATACAGCTCTTCACGCCCAGCTCAGAAGGCAACAACAACTTAATGATAATTTGTTCGTTTGTTGTGTTGTGATTATGATTTAGTTACTTGCTATTTCCTGATTCTGACCGGCCAAAGACAGCCTCAATTGGGTTGGTTTTTGGAGTTCTTTTGAACGTGATTACACTTCTAGAATGTCTGAAAACGCAAGTTTGGAGTTCTAATCTTTCAAAACTTTCCGGGGGGGCAGTCTTTTCTTGCTTTAAAATGTAAGCCACCATAATGTTAACATTTAATGTTCATTCGTCCGAGTTTGGATGCATCACCACAGTGGTCTAGTGCTGCCGCTCTTGTGCCATCCCTCAATTGTTCCATTGGAAGGGTGATGCAAGCAATCAAGTTCACGTTCCCTTCGGCCACTTACAGTTCCTCTCCTTATAGGGGGCATTTAATTTTTAATTCGTATTAAATACAATGTTAACCAAACAACAGGAAAAAAAATTCAAAGAAATGTTGATACACATTGTAAATTACATGACAATATGGTAAGGTAACAGGTAACTGCAATGCGAATGAGCACTTTTAAACTTTCACTTCGTCATACCGAACTGTAACCAAAACTACATGATGATTCGTTAAAATTATGATGTAAGGTAAATCAGTTCAACTATTACAAATAATAATTTGTCTTGCTAGGGGACTCTTTAACCAGACTTAGTAAGCAGATGTTAAAATAAAAATATAAATTCCGACTTTGCTCTGGAAGTAAGTCCTGCAATCTTTGGTTAACAAAGAACTATTTCATGTTCCAAAAGTTTAGCCCTTAAACTTTACTTGATGCCCTTTCTTAATATTCTGAGACGTATTTGCACATCTTCGTGAAAATACCTTTAATTTGATACTTCAAACGTTAAGTCTGTCCAGCCGTTATCGAGTAACGACTGAGAAAAGAAAACTGCTTGCGTATTAATATATAGATTAAATAAAGAGTTATACACACTTAAGACCAAGATAAGGTAAGTACGTATTAGCTTTGACTATTGATAGAGCTACGCATTCCATTCCAGTTTTAAAGTTGTCGCCAGTTTTGCATTCAAAAGGTAGCTGAAATAATTGAACCGCCAACAGAATGTTAGCGTACATTAGTGATTTCTATCAAATGAGAAAACTTTTTCAGCATTTAAGCCTAACTGACAGAACGACTTGTCATAAGCCACATAATCTTTTATGTCACATCAATTATCTCAGTAACAAAATTAATTTAAGTTAAAAAAATGTATAAAAGGAATCTTGGACTGCACTCCTTGATTAACTCATTCAACCATGTTATTCTTAATAAAAAAATTATCACAGCTAAAATCCAATCGGTATCCAAGAGTCAATAATATTAGTTTTTAACAGTTTTAAAAATTGGCTTACTCAAACCTGTAAACACAACAGCTTCCTAAATTCCAATAATTATTTCATTAATGGAAAAAAAACTTAACTGCTTTATAAAAACGAAACGGATAGCTCAAAGCCCTGTGGACAGATTTTATTTTAACTTGTTATAGTAAAGGCACGTACAGGAAATAAAGAGTTCCATTTAAAACAATAGATGGCTTGTATAATTAGAAATGAAGGGATTTAAAACTTACAATAGTTAAAACCATTTAAATCACAAAAACATAGCTCTTGTAGGACTAAGGATGATTGCAGCTGCTTACTGTGGTCATTTGATAATTTTCAAGCTATTACAAGACCCAAAATCATGTATCTAGCTACAACATTGTTTATTGACATGTTCAACAGAGAAGTCAACCATTAAATAGTGACACAGAAGTTAATACTGTTGTTTGTCCTCATACAAACCAAAACCCCGAATTTAATATTATGTTAACTGCTGGATTAAAGTTTTGCCAGTAGATTCCATTTACAGGGATCATTTTTTTTTCATTCAAAGAGATAATATTGAATGACTCTCAAAGTGCACTGTTATAAAATAAAAAAACTATGTTCTCAGATATTTTTTAAAGCTAGTTTGTCTACTATTTATAATTAACTATATGTTTCCTCATGGTTTAAATTAATTTTAGTCGGTGGACAAGAATAAAAAAGTATTTGACAGCAGCACACTATTGGCAGATCGATTAAACTTATTTTCAATATACATTTATTTTGTATCCTTTATTACTTTTGTTTATAAACACACATATCCCAGTCCCATGTTAAGACAAAAAATAACACAGATTACATCCAAACATAATAAATCTTTACTGCACAAAATCTGTTCATAAAAATACACCATTTATGGCTAAACACATCAAAGTCACGTAAATTAAAAAAGTCTTAACTGAGAATATGAAATCCAACATTGTATACAGCCATAAAAAGCATAGTAAATGACAGGTATTATTTTAAGGTTTAAAATATTTAGCTAAACATCACAGATTGTTTTATCTTTAATTATGGATTCTTTAAATAATGGATCCATGAACAGTAAAAATGTTTGAAAGTAAAATTAAAAATATTTGTTAGATTTTTACAGCTAAATGTTGTGTCAGGCATGTTAATAAAAACCAAACTTCTCTTTTATCAAAACCAGACTACATGTGAGAACTTAATCTAAATATATAAAAGGCAAAGCCCTCACTGACTGACTGACTGACTCACTCACTCATCACTAATTCTCCCACTTCCCATTTACCTAGGAGGCTGAAATTCGGTACACTGATTCTTTGGGCATTAAATAGGAAAACTAAGTAGTTTTTATTCTGATCGGACTCTCCGGCTCCGCCCCAGTGGCTCTGGAGTTTCCCATGTTAAGCTTATGATTTTTCATATTTAAAAGGAATTAATGAATCTTAACAGCTGTTTCAATTAAACAAGCTGTTTCTGTTCTATGATGTTCAATAGCTTTAAATTTACAAGGATTACCAACAGGGTGCAGCACTATATATTTTTTTAAATTTGTAACAGCTAATTTGCAAACAATAGGTGAGTGAGCGTAGCAAACGAACTTCAACCTGAAAGCAAGTGAGCGTAGCGAACGAACTTCAACCAGGACGTGATTGAGGCATGCAAATACGAATATGAAGTTAAACGGGGGCAAAGCCCGCGGGTACAGCTAGTACTTTATAATTTTCTGCTATCTGCTTTAATGCAAGCCTAAGGGTAGAAACACACAAACAGAGACTGGGGGCGGGGCGGAGCGGCACGATTTAGAGAGACAAAATCAAACCCATACAATCAAGTAGTAACGCGCACACAAACAGCTGAAGCGAGTGTAGCGGAGCGGAGCAGTTAACTTTGAAACAATCTCGTTTGTTTTTCTAGAGTTTGAGAGCGGAGCGGGCAAAGATCTTGTGGAAATTTTTAGTTCCACTTTCGCCAGTAGTCCGCTCTGTACCTCCATTCTACTGGAAATGGAACCTACCCAGAGGGTTTTGGAACCTTCTCGAACCTTCTCTTTTTGAAAGAATGTATCTCTTTATGTAAGAGGTCGAGGTAGACATGTATTGCATGAATCGCGATTAATGCTTCTTTAAGAAGTGGAAACAAGTGGTTATATTCACCATGTACCTCCCTTCCTCCATTCATTCCATGTAACCACTCCGATCGGTTTAAAGCATGCAAAATGAATGTTTTTAGTCACGTATTTTCACTGTAATGCAAATTGCGTGAAAACTTACTATGTGATATCTTGGAAATTATCGAGCTCTCATTTGTGTCGCTCTCGCTACTTGCTGAATGTGTGCGATGTCAATCGCTCTCAGTCGCGCCGCTACAGCTTGCACGGAATCGCCCCACAATCGCTGTATGTGTGTTTTTACCCTTATGGTTTAATCCTTGGGTTTGCTCTGAATTTACATTCAACAGTTTTTATTTAAGTTAAAAATTTAAATTAAGAGGTGTTATTAGTGACACCAGTTTTATTTTGTCAATGTAGCAAAACTCATTACAGTGAAACATTCTGTTTGATTTATGTGCCTAGTTTATTTAAATATAACATATTTAAAGAGTAAGTATTTTTTATTAAAAAACCAAATGTTTATTGACAAGTATTTTTTTAAATAACAGTGTCCTGATTTACAATACCGAATTGATTAATATAACTACTTAAAACAAAATGGGAATAAAAAATTGTTTAAATAAATATTCAACAATCCTTTACATTAATATTAATGTTCTTAATCTTTGCTGATATTTTCAGAGAAAACTTCTATGACATTTTCTAGTGAGGAAATATTACTTGAATAAACATGCAACTCCTGTTCACTATTAAGCTTACTCAAGTCTTCAATATTGAAAGTTTTTTGTAACACCCTAGATGTATTTTTCCACTTGGCCGGTCCACCACTTGTAGCTATTACATCTGTCGATTCTATGTTGTATTCATGGCCATTTTCACTTGTGTCAAGAACTACTGTTTCAAGAGATATTGATGCATCTAAATCTTCAGTAGTAGTATACGTTTCAGATGAATCAATACTGGATCCACATTCAACCATGTCTTCATTTTCAGTTGAAATGATTACGTAGTCATCATCTCCTCCTTGGTAGTTTGATATTGTTACTTCATACTGAGATGAGTCGTCTTTTACAGACATCATTGACTGATCCAACCCACCTTCATTATTTTCAGTTTTGATTATTACTGTTTCGGGATCTTCTACAACCTCTTCTACTTCCATCAGCTGTATATATTGGTCCTCAGCTACTTCTGTATAATTTACATTTTCTGTGACACACTCGTCTAGTTTTTCATTGTAGCCTGTTTCATTCTGTGAAGATGTCATTTTGGACTTAAGTAATGTAGACTTATTTGTTGATACTCCCTCTGAAAAGTAATCTTCCGTTTCTTCATTCTTTCTGGTCTCGGACTTAGACAGGGTTTGTGTTTGTTGCGAAACCGTGGTACCATCATCATAAATTATTTTACTTTCATCCATGTTTAAGGCTTTACAAATTTCTATATTACCCTCCTCAGTATAAATTATTTTATGACCAGTGATGCTTTCAAGTTCTCCATTAGCATTGATGATTAAACATGTCCCACCCTCTTCATCACTTTCATCAGCCATTAGTGAATATCCCTCAACATACTGATGGTCTTCATCAACAGGATAATATACTATATTTTCCTGTTTCACTGAAACAACTTGTGTGTCAGTATATTCTTCCTCCTCAGTGTGTTCATAAATCACTTTTTCATCATCAACACTGTTATTCTCTTGGCTATACATGTTCAGTGTATCTGAACTCATTCTTTGTCCATTTTCCAAATCCTGCATCTTCTTCTTTCTTCTTATGTTATTTTTACTGAAAACAACATTTTTGGGATTTATCTTAAAAGAGTCTACTATATTCCAAAGATCCTTTCTAGTTAACAAATGAACTCGCTTCGTATCAATACCATCTCTTCTGAAACTGTTAATATCATCAAGAATTTGATCGAATGGAACTTTTAAAGCAAGTTTTTTTGCTATCAATAATTTGTCATCCGGATCTATGCTCATTCTAGAAATGTCTTGATTGTGACCCAGGTGAGTGTCTATATAACTAACAATTGTGATTTTCTCCCCCATTTCAACTTCAATTTTGGCTGGGCAATGGGCATTTATTTTATTGGATCCTTTTACTTTCATGTGCCTCAAATTTCTCCCTTTAGGTATGAAATTGCCATCTCTGTGACAAAAATATGTACTTCTAATAAATCCATTTTTCCTCATACGACTACTTGACATTTTTACAAATCTTGACTTAGTTTTGTTCTCATACTCACTCTTCCAGACAAAAAACTCTTCAGGAGTTTTGAAATAAACATTTGTTTCCTTCAGATGTATACCATGCCAACTTTGATAGTGTTCACACATCAGCTTCCTGTTTAATGCTTTAAAGACACACAAAGCACAATTAACTGATTCAGAAATATCATGAACAGCACTTTCTAAATGTTTTATCAAGTTATATTTTTTCTGAAATGTTCTTCCGCACTGATCACACATGAATTCATTTGTTTTTTCTGCATGCTTCCACCTTGAATGTGACTCTAAGGTTGAAAGTTTGTAGAATATTTTGCCACATTTGTGGCAGAGAAAAGCATCATCAGTCTCCATCCCCTGTAACAAAACAGTAACATAAGTAAATTGGTACAGCTTAAGATTGCTTAGTGTTAAGAGTCAGTCTCTGCAATTGAACTTCAAATTTTCCTTTTTAATATTGCATGGGAAAATAGTATTTTTCACATTGTGCAGGTTAAACTTTAGTTTTAGTTTACTCAATCGAACTTGTAACTTTAAAACCTTTTATACAAGCATGTTATTTTATTTAAGCATTAAAGCCAGAAGCATCAAACACAGAAACACTAATTCTACTTGAACTAAAGGCCCTAAAAGAAAAACAGAATAATATGGAGTCAAAAATGAAGAAATTAGAAGATAAAATAACAGTAGAAGATTCCCAGCACCTAATAACCGAGAAAAAGGAGACTCCTTGCAAGCCAATTAACACACCAAGACGAGTTTCATATAATAAAAACAAATTGGCAACTACTAAGAAAACCCATTTCAGTGTTTCCTTGCAAATAGCAAAAAGCAAGTTGAGGAAAGAAGCACCAGAACACCAAAGTCAACCACAACAAACACAAAATCAAAATATTAAAGAACCCAAGGCCATCAAAATCCCAAAAGGAGTTTGCTCTACTTTCAAGGGCACTATATCTCCCCCAAACAAATCAACTAAACCAAAGAACACAGGGAAACCCCCGATCACCGCCAAGCTTCTTAAGCCGGGAGAGACCATTGAAGACTTCTTTTTGAAAAATATAGACCTATATAAAAAGAATATTCTGTCACACACCAAGCGACTAAACATGACCGAGATGGACTGCCTCTCTTCTCAAGGAGAACAGAAACATGAGCAGCTGCAGGAACTCAATTCAAGTCAACAATCCAATCACTCTACAGTGTCCCATACTATAACCCCTTTTTTAGAAACAAACAGCCTGAAAAAAGCAAAAGAAAAATCTGCAAATCTCCAAATAATTCTTGTGTAGCAATAATGCACCAAAATATTAGAGGACTTGCTACAAAGACGAACAGACTACACCATATTCTCAATGACACAAAACCAAGCATTCTAGTCTTGACTGAACACGGACTGAAAAAAACAGAGCTAGAAGCTACGAAAATTCCCGGCTACTCTTTAATTACCCACTTTAGTAGAGAAGAACATAAACTTGGAGGTGTTGCAATATATTCCAAGGAATCCCTTGCTGATACAGTATCAGCTATTAACATATCAAACACATGCCAGGAGTTAATTTTCGAAGCAGCAATGATTCGCATGCAGACAACAAAGAAAAAGGATATCTACATTCTGGGAATCTATAGACCCAGTGCCGGATTTAGGGTACTTGCGGCCCTAGGCCAAATTACTTGAGCGGCCCTCCCCCTGTGGTGAAAATTCCTTGCGATAGCGGAAGTAATAGTGACTATCTCCTATACATCAAGGGGACATCATCATCGACACCCGTGATCCTGGATGAAATCGTGGACATCTCTCCTAAACCAAGTCAAAGCCATCATAACTATGATGGCTTAGTGATCATAACCATCCGGGACCGCAGTAAAATCGTGAACATCTCCCGCGGGCCACAATCACGGGGACATCATCATCGAAACTTGCGATCGCGGCAAAGTCGTGTTAAAAACCTCTCCCGTAGACTGCGATCATGAGGACTTCATCATTGACACCCCCAGCCGCGGCGAAATCGTTAACATCTCCCGTGAACCGCGATCACGGGGACATCATCATCAACACTCGCAGCCGCGGTGAAATCATGAACATCTGCCGCGGGCCGCAATCACGTGAACATCATCATCATCGACACTTGCGATCGCGGCAAATTCGTGTTAAAAAAATCTCCCATGGACTGCGATCTTGAGGACTTCATCATTGTCACCCGCGGCCGTGCCGAAATCGTAAACATCCTCCTCGGTAAGCCACCACGGGGACATCCACATTGACACCCCCAGCCACGGCGAAATCGTTAACATCTCCCGTGGGCCGCAATCACGGGGATGCATCGTCAACACTCGCGGCCGTGGTGAAATCATGAACATCTGCCGCGGACCGCAATGACGGGGACATCATCATCGACACTTGTGACCGCGGCGATATCGTGAAAATCTCCCGCACACGGGCCGCAATCACGGGGACATCATCATTGACAGACAACTCGATACAGCATCTAATTCGTGAACGTCACCCGCGGCCGCGGCTAAATCACGAACGTCTCCCGCGGGCCGCAATCACGGGACATCATCACAGGCACCCGAGGCCGCGGCAAAATCGTGAACATCTCCCTCGGTCCACGGAGACATCATTATGGTCACCTGTGATGGCGGCAAACTGGTGGTTTAAAATAAATTATTTTTTTAAAATTTTATCTCAAAAAATGTTTTTCCCAATCCTCTGCGGCCCCCTCTTGCTTGCGGCCCTAGGCCGCGGCCTAATCGGCCTAGTGGTAAATCCGGCACTGTATAGACCACCAATCGAAAATGCAAGAATTGCCCTTGACCTCCTATCAGACACGCTAGAACTACAAGAAGTACACAAGAAAAACCTCATACTCATCGGTGACATAAATATCGACAGGCTCACCCAAGATTCCAAAAACGCCATGCTGGAAGAAGAGTTAACCACACAAAACATCTGGAGATTTCCTCTAGAGGCCACCAGAATAACCCATGACACAGCCACTTCAATAGACTGTATATGCTCAAACATACCATATGCGTATATTACTGGACAAGTTGTGCATACCGGTCTATCTGACCACACTGCGCAGCTGTGCCTGCTGAAAACACACCAAGAAGACACTTCCCAAAGATTTGTAATGAAAAGAAGCCTAAACAACACAAACCTAAACAATCTAAAGGCTCACCTCCATCTACAAAATTGGGAACATGTTTACTCTTCACCGAATCTTGAAACCTCCTACAACAAATTTCATAATATTCTTCAAACAGCACTGGATTATACATGCCCATTAAAGAAAACTAAAATTAGTACAAACAAAAAACATATGAAGTACTACGATCCTGAAGCAAAATACCTTAAAGAGAACTTTTTGAAAGCTCTGCAAAAGTTTGAGTTAACGAACAGAAATGAAGACAAATTAGAAATGATTAATAGAAAAAGGATATACGACATGAAACTAAGAAACCTAAAAATGTTCTCAACAGCTAGCTTCATAGAACAAGCTGACAACAAACCAAAAGCTTTATGGCAAGTTATAAACAAGGAAAGGAAAGGAAAATGTGAAGAGAAAACCCTTACAGAATTAGAAATAAATGGCAAACTCACAAACGACACAAAAGAAATGGCCGAACACTTCAACACATTCTTCTCAAATATAGCAGAAAATACCCTCGACCAAAACAGAGCAATCGTTATAGACCCTGAAACAGTGCTGAATGGAGAGGAACCAGTCTGCCCAATACAGCTTACCCTAACTTCAACATCCTATAAAGAAGTTAAAACGATAATAAACTCCCTAAAAGCCAAAACATCAAGTGGAATAGATGAGTTTTCCTCTAAGATGATAAAGCACTGCTCTCAAGAACTCATCTCTCCTCTGGTTTATCTTATAAATAAATCATTTAAAGAAGGCAAATTCCCATCCGCCATAAAAGTCAGTAAAATATACCCCAAACATAAAAAAGGACCAACTGAAAATGCTCAAAACTACAGGCCCATCTCTCTCATCTCCAGTTTCTCTAAAATCATAGAAAAAATTGCTCTGGCTAGATTAATGGCACATCTTAATCATAACAAACTCTTAACTGACAGCCAACATGGCTTTCGGAAGAATAAATCTACATCCTCAGCTATAACAGCACTAATTGAGTACGTCCTAGACCAGATAGAAAACGAACAATACATTTCCGCCATCTTCCTTGATTACAGTAAGGCTTTTGACTGCCTGGGCCACGACCTGATATGCAAGAAACTCGAAAGACTCGGTATAAAAAACTCTGCGCTAGAATGGTTCAAAAGCTACCTAACGGGACGTTCACAAGTCGTGGAACTGAAAAACTCATCAAATGAAGTCACAGAAAGTTTCAAATCTTCAAAAAGCAAGCAGACGAGAGGAGTTCCACAAGGCTCTGTATTAGGCCCGATTCTATTCATCTTATTGACTAATGACTTCCCCAAACAAATTGAGAGTGAAAATACTGTTGCAATCATGTATGCAGATGACACAACCATTTTGATCAAGGACAACACAGCCCAAAACCTTTACCTTAATTCAAAATCGATCCTAAATAAAGCTATCCTCTACTCAAAGAACAATGACTTAGCAATAAACCCCACAAAAACTACAACTCTGAATTTCAGTAAGAAAAAAGACATAGTACCTCAATTAGAGGATGTAACAATAGAAAACCACACAAAATTTCTCGGTGTTATCCTTGATAACAAACTAACATGGAAAGAGCACATCAACCACTTAAGCAAAAAAATCAGTACTGGAATATATGTCGTCAGAAGAATAAACTACATAGGCGGACTCTCCGTGGCCAAAACAGCTTACTTCGCACTGGTAGAGTCGCATCTTAGATATGGCTTGACAGTGTGGGGTGGAACTTCAACAAAAAATATGAATCGAATTCTTGTCCTTCAAAAGAAAGCCATAAGAGCCCTCGCCAACCTTGTCCCACCACAGACTTGCAGACTAGCATTCGCAAACCTAGGAATCCTCACAGTGGTGTCTCTCTACATACTTGAATCTATAAAGTATGTGAATGAAATAAACCCCCCAAGAAACCGAGACCTGCACCACTACAACACCCGTCATGGCTCCAAATTTGCACTACCAGTTCACCGAACAACTCTTTGGGAGAAAAAACCTTCCTACACCGGTTGCAAGCTGAGGAACCATCTACCTGACTACCTGAGAGACCTGACAGGCAACAAGCTACACCAGGAGTTGAAGAAGTGGCTAATCGCAAGACCCTTCTACTCAATAAAGGAATTTTATGAAAATTAACATGTACAATTCACTATTGTATTGACACTATTGTAATTCTTGACAAATTAACAATAAAGAAAA